GAGGTGAAATCCTTCAAGAGTCAAGTAGAGAGAAAGATCTGGGGGTTGATATCACACCGAACCTGTCCCCAGAGGCCCACATCAAAAGGGTATCATCAGCGGCATATGCTAGATTGGCCAACATAAGAACTGCCTTTAGAAACTTGTGTAAGGAATCATTCAGAACCTTGAATACCACTTATATCAGACCTATTCTGGAGTATGCAGCTCCAGCCTAGAATCCATACCTAGTTAAGCACTATACAGAGTTAGAGAAGATTCAGAGGTATGCCACCAGACTAGTCCCACAACTGAGAGGTATGGGTTATGAGGGTAGACTACGGAAACTAAACCTCACGTCCCTGGAAGATAAAAAAGTAAGGGTAAACATGATCACTAGCTACCAAATTCTCAGAGGAATTTGACAGGGTGGACAAAGACAAACTATTTAGCATGAATGGAGCACGAACAAGGGGAGGGGGGGTCACAGGTGGAAACTCAGTACTTAAATGAACCACATTGAAAATAAATTTTTTTCAGTATCAGTGTAGTTAACAAATATAATGCATTAGACAGTGATGTGGTGGAGGCTGACTCCATTCACAAATGTCGATAGGATAAAGTCTTATAGATTCAGGAATCTGAACACCAGTTAATTGACATTTGAGAGGCGGGATCAAAGAGCCGAAGCCCAACCCCCGCAAGCACAGCCAGGTGAGTACTAGGTGAATGCACACACACACACACACACACACACACACACACACACATACACACACACACACACACACACACACACACACATACCCACACACACACACAAACACACACACCCACACACACACACAAACACACACACCCACACACACACCCACACACACACACACACACACACACCCACACACACACACACACACACCCACACACACACACAAACACACACCCTTTGAATGCCCAATGTTCAATATGTTATCTATTAACCTACGTGTTTTCTCATCTTACTAGATACTATTTTCTCCGTATTACGTCTCCTAATGCATTCCATTTGACTTGCTTTATAGCCGGGCCATAAAGACGAATCCCGATGTGCTGCCAACGACGCCTCTCTCCCAGCTGCTGTGGGACGACTTCTGGGGGACTCCCCTCACCCACAGCGGCTCCCACAAGTCCTACCGTCCCCTCACCGTCCTCTCCTTCAGGTAAGGTATCCTGCCCCAGAGGTCGAAGGGGACCCCGGGAGGGTGTGCTGCTTAATGGTGGAGATGTTACAGGGACTTCACCACAGTGGTGATGTTACAGGGACTTCACCACAGTGGTGATGTTACAGGGACTACACCACAGTGGTGGTGTAACAGGGACTTCACCACAGTGGTGATGTTACAGGGACTACACCACAGTGGTGGTGTAACAGGGACTTCACCACAGTGGTGATGTTACAGGGACTTCACCACAGTGGTGGTGTAACAGGGACTTCACCACAGTGGTGGTGTAACAGGGACTTCACCACAGTGGTGAAGAGCTGTCACGTGCTTCCTTCCCTTTCGTGACGGACCGAAACGTCGTCGTCCCTTCACTTTCTAGTGTGTGGTTTGGTCAACATCGAAAAGCATCCTTGTAATCTTTTTCTCAAAACGTTTGCTTGTCCCACTGGGCCTCGTTTCCCCAGAATATTTGCTTATCCAGAGAAGTCTAAGTGGCTTAAAGATTTGCTGATGCAGGAAGCGTATGATTAGCATAAAGTTTTGCTGGCATCAGAAACGTTTTGTTGAACTATTGGCATATATATAATATATATATATATATATATATATATATATATATATATATATATATATATATATATATATATATACAAATATATATATATATATACTCAAATATATATATATATTATATATATATATATATATATATATATATTATATATATATATATATATATATATATATATATATATATATATATATATATATTATATATAATATTAAATTGTGTAACTAGCTTCATATGACTGTTGCTTGCTTAGCTAAATGAACTTTAGAGTTCAGTTCCCGAGATCATTCAATGCCTCTGTAGAGTCTTTAATCTTTTCTACTGCCGCCGACGGAATGGGTATAGGCTACAGTAACGCCCATGGAATGGGTATGAGAGTGCATAATAAATGAACTAGAACTTTCCTCCATATAATAATTTACCGTAAGTTTCCCTGGATCAAAACATGGTATTTTCACCCGGCGCGTCTTGGTGATTGCACTAATCATTGCATACCTATGCAACATTTGATCATTTACAATTGTACCTGTATATATGATAATATTTTACATGTTGTGGTTATTATAACGTGTAATATGTGACGTTGTCCGTCTCTCTTTCTCTCCGTCAGGCTCAATTATATGGTGTCGGAGTTCCATCCACTCTCGTATCACGTGACCAATGTCGCGTTGCACGTCGCTGCCACGGGACTCTTCGCGGTGTTGGCGCGCACGCTCACGCCCCACGCGCGCCTGGCCCACACGGCTGCACCCCTGCTCTTCGCGGCCCACCCCATCCATACGGAGGCCGTGGCGGGGGTGGTGGGCCGCGCTGACGTCGGCGCAGCCATTTTCTTCCTAGGGGCACTGCTCTCCTACATGCGCTACTGCGGGTGTGCGCGCGTCAACGGCGTGGGCGGCGGGCGGGCGGTGGGGCGGCGGGCGTGGCTGGGGGCGGCGCTGGTGTCTGCCACCCTCTCCATGTTGACGAAAGAACACGGCATCACCGCCCTGGCCGTCTGCGGCGTCTATCATGTGTTTGTGCACGCCAAGCTTAGGCCCAGGGACCTCTTCTCCGTCATCAGCGAGGTGGGTAGTTAGCTTTATTAACTACCAACATGTGGTCGTTACAACTACCACCATGTGGTCGTTACAACTACCACCATGTGGTCGTTACAACTACCACCATGTGGTCGTTACAACTACCCCCATGTGGTCGTTACAACTACCACCATGTGGTCGTTACAACTACCACCATGTGGTCGTTACAACTACCACCATGTGGTCGTTACAACTACCCCCATGTGGTCGTTACAACTACCCCCATGTGGTCGTTACAACTACCACCATGTGGTCGTTACAACTACCAGCATGTGGTCGTTACAACTACCACCATGTGGTCGTTACAACTACCACCATGTGGTCGTTACAACTACCACCATGTGGTCGTTACAACTACCACCATGTGGTCGTTACAACTACCCCCATGTGGTCGTTACAAACTACCCCATGTGGTCGTTACAACTACCACCATGTGGTCGTTACAACTACCCCATGTGGTCGTTACAACTACCCCCATGTGGTCGTTACAACTACCACCATGTGGTCGTTACAACTACCACCATGTGGTCGTTACAACTACCACCATGTGGTCGTTACAACTACCACCATGAGGTCATTACAACTACCCCCATGTGGTCGTTACAACTACCACCATGTGGTCGTTACAACTACCACCATGTGGGTTGACAATACTTATAATGTGATGTTATTTATGGTCTGTTACTGTGTAGGTTAAATGACTAAATTCTCTTTCTTGACTTGTGTATACTGATCTGACTTATGAATAACTTCAGGTAATACCTGCCTACATCTACAGTGTTCTATGTGTGTAGAGGACACAGTAGATGTTCTCCCTCCCTCCCCCCCCTCACACAGTAGATGTTCTTCACACACACTAAATATGAGTATCTACACAGCAAACATTGTGTTTGTACTCATTATAGTGGACAAAGAGTAAAAAAAAAAAATGAAATATATTGACACCAGAAGGGAAGGGAAGTATCAGGGGGAGAGGAGGGGGAGAAAGCGCCAAGCCATTACGACTATATAGCACTTGGAAGGGGTCAGAATAAGGACATGGGAAAGAGTGAAGAGTGAGAGACAAAAGTGGCAGCGACACCGATCATAAAGAATCAATGGCATAGCCTTAGGAGAGGTCCTGCCCCTGTGCCTCTCCCCCCTCCTCTTACCCCTCCCCCCTCTTACCCCTCCCCCCATCATCCTCCCCCTGATATTCTAATCCCTTCTCCCTCCTGTTCCTCTCCCTCTCCTACCCTTCCCCCCCCCCCTACCCCTTCTCCCGCCTGAGAAGTCATTTAGAAGCAGTCATAAAGGTCTCACACAACCTGGAACGGGTCGAAGTCTCCGGTGCTGCAGTGTTGTAAAAGTTTTTGCATGTTGGGAATAGTTTGCTGGGTCAAACCCTTACATCCCCCTCCCTCCCTCTCTCTCTTTCTCTCTCTCTTTCTCTCTTTCTCTCTCTCTCTCTCTCTCTCTCTTTCTCTTACCTCACCAACCATCTCTACGCCTTTTACCTCCCCCCTCCTTTTGCTATTCTTGCCTTTCTCCTCTGCCACTCGCTCTTTCCCCTTTAATCTCTTATCACCTTTCTACGATGCCGCCCAACACCTTCACTTTGAACCCTCACTTTCCTCACTGTCACCCATCGTCTTCCCCCTCCTCTGTCAACCCTCATCTTCCATAGAAATATAACATGTACATAAGTGAAGCATCAATGAAACATTGATGCTTGTGTTGGGACTTCGTCTTGACTTTGTGATTGGACTTGATGTTGCTTTCTTGTGTTAGGTCTTGGGTTTGTGTTGGTGATTATAAATCAAGTCTTGCCGTTAATTCCCCCCCTCTGTATTCCTTTGGTAACGCAAATAACGGAAGCACACACACTCACTTTTTGTTTTCCTGGCCGTGACGGAAATAAATGGGCAGAGTTTCTTTCAACATGATACACCTGTTCACCTAGCAGTATATAGGTTCCTGGGAGTTAGACAGCTGCTATGGGCTGCTTCCTAGGGAAGTATGTGTGTGTGTAGTAGTAGATATAATAGAGGGGAAAAAGATTGGTTAGAAAGGCGGGGTTCAAGAGTTAAATAGTTCGATTCTGCTAATACAAATAGTAAATACACACACACACACGTATGATAACGACGTACAAAATACTAATAGAGATTGACAAAGTTGATATTGAAGCAATGTTCAAATTATAGAACAAGCACACAACCCGAGAAAGCAGCCTTCGGCAGCTGTCTAACTCCTAGGTACCTATATACTGTGAATAGATGCATCAGTGTGAAAGAAATGCCCATTTGTTTCAGACTCCTCCGGGAATCTAACCCGATCCAGTCGAGAGGCTTTCGAAAGCTCTGCCCACTCGCCCAGTAGGACCTGTGTGTGTGTGTGAGAGAGAGAGAGAGAGAGAGAGAGAGAGAGAGAGAGAGAGAGAGAGAGAGAGAGAGAGAGAGAGAGAGAGAGAGAGAGAGAGAGAGAGAGAGAGAGAGAGAGAGAGAGACATGGAGTAGATACAATAGAGAAAAAGTAGGTCAGGAATCATATTGCATTTGATAAACGGCGACATATACAAATGTTGGGCAAGACCTAGAGCTCGAGTCTACAGACACAAATTGGCGAGTACACACACACACACAATACGCACACACACATGCACACACAACACGCACACATGCACACACAACACGCCCACATGCACATACACACAACACGTAAAGGCACTGATTACCCTAACCAGATTCACTCACGTCAAAGGAACAAATAACGTTATAACGTATAATTAACTTGTGTTGGGGGCGTGTGTTGGGGGCGTGTGTTGGGGGCGTGTGTTGGGGGCGTGTGTTGGTGGCGTGTGTTGGGGCGTGTGTTGGGGGCGTGTGTTGGGGGCGTGTGTTGGTGGCGTGTGTTGGGGGCGTGTGTTGGTGGTGTGTGTTGGGGGCGTGTGTTGGTGGCGTGTGTTGGGGGCATGTGTTGGTGGTGTGTGTTGGTGGCGTGTGTTGGGGGCGTGTGTTGGGGGCGTGTGTTGGGGGCGTGTGTTGGTGGCGTGTGTTGGTGGTGTGTGTTGGTGGCGTGTGTTGGTGGCGTGTGTTGGTAGCGTGTGTTGGGGGTGTGTGTTGGGGGCGTGCGTGTGTTGGGGGCGTGTGTTGGTGGCGTGTGTTGGGGGCGTGTGTGGCGTGTGTGTTGTTGGTGGCGTGTGTTGGTGGCGTGTGTTGGTGGCGTGTGTTGGTGGCGTGTGTTGGGGGCGTGTGTTGGGGGCGTGTGTGTTGGGGGTGTGTGTTGGTGGCGTGTGTTGGGGGCGTGTGTTGGTGGCGTGTGTTGGTGGCGTGTGTTGGGGGCGTGTGTTGGGGGCGTGTGTTGGGGCGGCAAACATAAACCATACTATGTTTATGGATGTTAATCTACTCAGGTGTTGGGGGCCCAATTCCATGTCTTCTCTCTGTATTCCTTGATAACGTTGAAACACGAAAACGTTCGGGATTTTCCTTTCATTTTCCTTTCATTTTCCAGTGTGAATACTTACGCTCAACCTAATCGTGTGTTTTTCGTGATTATTATTGAATATATATATATATATATATATATATATATATATATATATATATATATATATATATATATATATATATATATATATATATATATTTATATATATATCGTAGAAACCAATGTCGTGTAGTTTTTATATATAACAAATTCTTTCATTAACTTCACACTGTTACGCTGAGTCACTCCAGTCATTTACATACATTAAAAGATGCCTTCATAAAAGTGTGTTCCCCAGGCCGCGAGGTGGTGTTTTTTTTTTGTACAGCAGCTTTCAAATGAACTTACTTGCAGTAGTTTCCGCGCTGACAAGGTTCATCAGGCAAGCACACGGTTCACAGGTTCTACCAGAACGCTGCGTGGTGGGTTGCCGGTGCGCGGGGGTTCTGCCTCAAGGTCGCGTTTCTGCTCCACACGAAATCCCTATAAAACTAACTAGTATCGACTCGGGAATGTAGTCTAGTGCCTCCTTTTCGTCAGAAGCCATTAGTTCATTTTTACAAGCGCAGGGTCTTGGGCCGCGTTGCCAGAGGGCACCGCGGCCATTGACATGATATCCACGTACAAGCTCACAATTCTCACCAGGAGAGGGAACGAGGGGGGTAGCAGAGGGGGTGGGAGGGGAGGAAGCTTTCTTAAGATCATATATTCCCTTCGTAATAATAATAACATGGATTCACAAATGTGGTCCCATGCAAACGTGCCGGAAAAGAAGAAAACGGGCTCTCTCAAGCTGACACAGTCACAGGGCCCACACACTCACTACCTCACACACACACACACACACACTCACTCTCGAGGCCCTCCGAAGTAGGGTGTAATTGGCGTCATAAACGAGGCAAGTGCAAAAAAACTTTCCAGGCAGATGGAGTGACCTGGGCCACGGGTGTTGATGTGGGCGCTGGGGCGAGCTGCTTCGCCGAGCTTCGTATCAGCTTATCAAGACCGGACACGTGATAGCACCAATCTCGTGCCCGAAAGGTAACGTTGAAAGACTCATTCAGAGGTCAGTGAGAAGCTGCAGAACAGTGTGGGGGGCGGGAAGGAGGTGTCCCTCTAGCGCTCCAGCGTCGCCCGCGACGTCTAACAGTGGCCACCGACCAATAAAAAATTCTTGATGGTTGGGTTGGTTGGCTGGTCGTTCCGGCCTCTACACTGCGGCGAGGACAAGACACCTGGCGTCATTCAATAGGTGTAATAGAGCTCTTCCTCTAACAGTTATAACCCCGCGGGAGGCATTGAACCACACACATACACACCCTTCAGTGGTTACGAAGAAGAGACGTCTCTCCTCCATCCGCCCGTCCGTCGGTCCGTCCGTCCGTCCGTCCCTGCTCTTCCTCCTGGTGGCGAACATATGGATTACCAGACCTGTTATTGTCATTTGACTTGCACATTGCCCCTGAGGATGCCGGAGTAGATCACTCCCCCGCCAGTTTCCTCAAGATTTAAGAGAG